TTCTATTTTCCTTGAAACTTCTTCTTTGGTACTTTAGTTACTTAGAACTTTCTAAATTAATTTCCAAGTATTTGGAGATTATCCAGATACCTCTGTTATTTAGTTCTAGCTTAATTCTGGTCAGAGAACATTTTATGATTCTAAATCTTTTAAATTTGTTAAGGTGTGCTTTATGGTGGATAATATGGTTTATTTTGGTGAATGTCCCATGTGTGCTTGAAAAGTGTGCTCAGTTGTTGTTGGTCAGAGTGTTCTGTAAATGTCAGGCAGGTCTAGTTGAGAGTGTTCAGGTTGTTGGCATTTTGTATACTTGCAGGTTTTCTGACCCTTGGTTATATCTATTACTAAAAAGCAGCATTAAGACCCCAACTATAATCCTCCAACTATAATTGTGTGCTAATCTATTTCTTCCTTTCATTCCATCAGCTTTTGCTTTGTGTATTTTGGAGCTGTATTATCAGTTGCTTATGCACTTAGAATTGTTATGGTCACCTTGGTAAATAGACCTTTTATCATTATTCAGTGTTTCTCTTTGTTTCTGGAAATTTTCCTGTGGTCTGCTTTGTCTCATATATAATACAGCCACATCTACATTCTTTTGATTAAGGTTTGCAAGGTTCCTCTTTTCCCAACCTTTTTTTTTTTTTTTTTTTGGTACTGGGGATCAAACCCAGGACCTTGCGCTTGTGAGGCAGGTGGTGGAACCACTGAGCTAAATTCCTGGTCTTCTCAACCTTTTATTGTAGCTGTATCAGTAGATAGGGTTTCTTCTAGACAACGGTTTTTTTTTTCACTTAATCCTATAATTTCTGTCTTTTAATGGATGTGTTTAGATTATTTACATGTTTAAAAAATACTATTTATTACTATCCCTACATATATACATACATCACCTCATTTATAGATCATGTGCCTTTAATATAATTATTGATTTGGTTGGATTTAAGTCTACCATTTAATTACTTTTCTTTTTTTTGTGCTGGGAATTGAACTCAGGACCTTGTGCTTTCCAGACAGATGCAGTGCCACTGAGCTACATCCCTGGGACTTAATTGCTTTTCTTTGTCTCGTCTGGTTTTTGTTTCTTTGTTCTTCGTTTCCTGGCTTCTCCTAGAGTCTTTATTTTTTAGTATTAATTATCTTTTGTCTTTTTTGCTATTTTTTAAGTGATTGCTCTAGACATTACAATATACATATGTAACTATGTACTAGATTTTTTGAGTTATTATTTTACCCTTTCATGTAAAATACACAAGCTTCCCATTGTATGCACCCGTTTACTTTGCTCCTTTAATTTATAGTTGTATACACCTCATATCTACATACATTGAACCCCCCCATGTTATAATTATTTTCTGACACATTTTATTTTATTTTTAAATTTTAATTAATTTATTTTTTGATAGAATGTAGAAATCTTTGGAACTTTTACTTAGGGTGACAATTTAAAAGACTTCCTGTGGGACCTGCATTTGAAGGTGATGATTCTTCTGTGCACAGAGACAAAACAGACAGGGAAGGCATGTGGGATGTTGTCTGAGTTGGCACGTCTGTGCCACTATCCAAGTTCAAAGCTGAAAGCCCAAGAGTATGGTCCGCATTGATCTCACCGGCACTGCTTTGGGTAGAAGGCTTTAGGGAATTTCGGAATGTGCCACTGCGGAGGCAGGATGTGCTATGGAAAGTGCTTGCCAGCTTGACTGTCTTCTGACTGCTGTCATCAGAGTCAAGTTTGGGAAAGGACAGAGATTTGATATTGCTTACTGTAGGGATAGGAGGAAGGGACACTTTGGAAGACAGCGACATCTTTTCACAGTTGCCTAACTGTGATAAAGTTATAAAGCCATTGGGTTTATGAAGAGGCCTGAAATCCAGGGTTGCCCGTTCCAAGGACACCAAGACCTCCTCATCCTGTAACACAGACCCAGAGCTGCCTCTGGGCAAGTTATTGTCCAATCACTGAGCCATAATGGGTCCAGTAGTTCCCACCAGAATGTTTCTCAGCTCCTCCTTCTCATCAATAGTTTTCAACTCCAGATTATCAAATGGGTCTTCTTCACATTCAAAGTCAGCGGGATTGAAATCGGCCTTTGTGTGGGGTGGGCTGAGAACTTTCTGTTTCATGGCACTACTGCTGACCCGAGTCGGAGTGAGGATGTTGTTGTGCTGTAAGTTGGCAAGGATAGGGTTAATAGGAGGTGGCATAGTGGTTGTACTGTGAGTCTTGGAGAAGCTCATTTTCCTATCACCCTCTGGGCCACTCTTAGAATTCACTTTAGCTTCTACTTCCTCAGCCTTGCGCTCTGCTTCCTGCTGGACTTCTTGGATTTTCTTAACATCTTCAGCCCACTCAGTGGTTTTCTTTTCCAAGGAGAAGTCATACTGTACTTCTCTGACAACCTGCAAACAATCAGGCAGGGAGAAGCCAATAGGTAGACCAACTTTAGCTGGTGTTTTGAATTTGTCTCCTATCTTAAATGGGACATCATCAAGTAACTGAAAGTCCCTGTAATCCCAGCACTCTGGGAATCCTGAGGCAAGAGGGCTGCAAGTTCAAGCCCAGTCTGGGCAATTTAGCAACTTAACAAAACCCATGAAAATCTGCACCCAACTTTTTAGAAGCCATTTAGAACCTGAACGCCGCTGCCGTCCCAAAAGCGGAAAGGTGCTGGCAACGGCTCGCCTCCCAGGCTCAGTCCTCGCTGAGCTCCCGACGCCCCTAGGGAAAGCAAATGCCATCACTCCCTACTCTGCCCACCCCGGGCCAGGCAGTCACTGTAGCCATAGCCAATACTGCAGGTGACATGTTCCTGACATATTTTAAATATTTGAAGAGGGGAGAGCAGTATGGTCTCTGTTACCATGTCTGCCGTTGCCTCTCCCTTCTGGAAGTTCCACCTGGCTTGATGATGTCTGCATAGACCCCAGGGGCTCCAGGTAGACTTGGATTCAATGGGGAGTATTCTTTAACCCACCACAGTGTCCACTCCCCAGAAGTCAGAAATAAAACAATAGAATAAGACAAAAGAAAGAAAGCTGTGACTCTCCGAGGAGATTGATGAAATAGATGTCCAGGGAGGTTGGGCGCATGAGGGAAAGATGACATGGACTTCCCTGTCTGTGCTGGAGGGAAGAGAAGGGTGTGTTTCCAGCAGTGCTGGGAGTGAGGCAGCAGGGTGTGAACTCACACTGTTCACTGTGTACCTTGGGTTCGGCTCTTCCCTTTGGTGGCAGAAATTGAGCAGTGGGTCAGCTACCAGGCGCCTCCCCTGGGAAGCCTTCCCTGACTCCCTTCCCAAGAATGGTTTAGGATCAGAGGATCCTAACTCCTCGTTTTTTTCTCTGTTCTATTCTCTGGGTGAGACGTGGCCTACAAGAAGGCATATGCTGAATGACTGGAGACCTGCGTTTCTCTCCAAACCTCGTTGCTGAGGTTGGTTGGGTACCCTCTGGACAAGATCTTTATCCTTTCTCGTACTCAGTTTCCCGACTTTAGATGGAGTGACTCACTCCTGGGCTCCTTTCTGGAATGCTGAGCCTGAGAGGGGCTCACAGTTCCTTCCCCAGGACTGGTGACCACTGGTCCTTCTGGACAATTAGACCCTTAGATCCCATGTCCACCCCCTGTGGACTTGGACTTTAGAGTGCAATGGGGCCATCTTGGGGTTGTTCGTAGAACTCTTCCTGGGAGGCAACCCAGAAAGGTCAGCCTGGCTTGCCTGCATGGGGTAGACAGCTCTTTGGACGTCTGGACACCATCCTATTGAAGCAGCCAACCCTCCTGTGGTGTGTGTGAGCCCAGCGTGGAGAGAGGCCCCTTGGAACACTCTTTCTGTGGGAGAGGGCAAACTATGTCCTCCGGGGCAGGGAGGGATCCTACTGTCCTGGGGTGTGGGATACTCTCAGGAGAATTAACTCACTTCTAGAAAATCTCTTTGGATTCCACCCCCACCCGAGTACTGTACTTCTTTCTCAGGCTGGAAAAGTCTCCTCCCTGGTGAAGGAAAAGTGTGGTCAGAGAGGGCGAGGAACTTCATTCTCAGTGCAGGAAGTCCCTGGACCCTGGGGACAGGATGGGGACAATCCCCAGGCTGTGTTCCTTGATTTAGGGGCAAATTCTGGCCTCAGAGCTTTCTGGAATCCCTGTTCCCACACTATTACTGTGCAAATTGGAGAGCGCTTCCTAACCCGGTGACCTGGACCATCCCAGGGCTTCAGACAGCTAGGCAGTGTGAAAACAGGAGACAGGAAGGGGATCTGAGAACTAAGAGGCTTCCTGGAATCCCATGGGCATGGGAGTGCCATCCAGAAATCACTGAGGAGACAGAGCCTGGGGAGGGGTCTCCCGCCTGGCTGTGGGAGGGGCCCTTCTCCCACCTCTCTGAGTTCTCCAGTGGCCTCCCGGAGCACCTTTGTGCTTTGGGCCACGTGTGTCCTGCCCTGTCTGGCCTTTTGCCTGTTAGAATGGGAAATCGCTCTCCTGCCAGGCTAGATGATGCCAGCCAAGTGAGACAGATGCAGCTGCCTACAGGGACTTGTGGGGTGGTGGTTTAGGATCCCCACTTGGACCCATGGGAGCCAGGCCTACTCCCACCTGTAATAGGAACTTCTGAAGCATGGGTGCTGAAGTTCAGGTTGCTTCCAGACAGCTGCCAGACAGTGAGTCTTCAGAGCTGCTTGCCCAAAGCCATTGACACCGTGAGCTCTGACCCAGGCACTTTGCCTGCTTATAGTCCCTGTAGCCTAGTAGGGATCACCCTGAAATCCTGCCCTCCAGCTGGAGCTCTCCCTCAATCTGTCTCTCATGTGGAACAAGGACATCGTGATTTACACAGCACCAGTAATGGCTGAGCCCATAACTGACCTGTTCCTGAACCTTGAGGACTCTTTGTCCTTGGAGGTCTGCGGGAACATCCTTGCTCCCTCATCTGCCACCTGTAACCCCTGCAGACATCTTCGGCTCGGAGCCCTCCCTCCCCATCCATCTACTGTGGATGGGGTGGTGAGAGCTGAGCTGAGCTGAGAAAGTAGCTGACTGGAGGGAATAGCTGAGACATGACATATTGTATAACACTAGGACATGAGTCTGCATCCCCCATCTTTTTACTCAGTTTTTTCAGCACATCTGTACATCTCTGTGATGGGCAGGGGTAACCATCAAGTGGGTAAAGTGCTTGTGGCACAAATCACTTGAACTAGATGCTTTGGATATGAGAGGGGGAGGGAAAGCTTTTTGCTGGAAGTGGCACTGTACTGGGCTTTGGCGCATATGAAGTAGTTCACCAGACACACTGCTTGGAGCATGGCATTAGGAGAGGAAACCCCATGCCCCTCTTTCTGCTTTCTCCCTTGCTGAGCTCTGCTGGCTGCAGATGACAGCCTCATCTTTTAGGCATGCTCTGTGGGACAGGACCTCTTGTCTTCCCAGGCCCTGGAGTCCAGTTCTCTGTGGGATGTTCCTGAGTCAGGGTCTTGCTCTCCTCCCAAAGTCAGCATGTACACAGCTCAACTCATATTGGATGTGTTAGGGATGAAACAGAAAATAGCAAGCGTTGGCGTGGATGTGGAGAGACCAGGGTTCTCATGGGTGGCTGTTGGAAGTGTGAAATAGTATGGCCACAATGCAGAAGAGTCTGGATGTTCCTTGGAAAGTTCAGCACTCGGTTACCATGTTATCCAGCAGCTCCATTCTGGAAACAACCCCCAGAGCTGGAAACGGGTGTGCAAACAGACCTGTGTGTGACAGTTCAACACAGCATGGTTTACAGCAGCCAAGGCTGGGAAGAGCCCAGGTGCAGCCATGGACAAGAGGATACATGGGTTGCATCCCCACCTTGAGGAACGGGATGGTCACTCAGCTGCCGGAGGAGCAAGGCACAGACAGGGCACAGAGTAAGCGATGCCAGACACATAGGCCACATGTGATCCGTGCCTGGTCCAGAACAGACAGCAGAGCAGGGGCTGCCAGGGCTGAGTGGGAGATGGGCTTGCTCTCTGATGGTCTAGGATGCCTTTTGGTGTCAAGGATGTCTTGGAGCTGAATGGAGATGGTAGTCACACAATCTTGTGAGTGTACTTAGTGCCACGACATTGTTTACTTTAATATGATCAATTGTTTACCTGGCTGTGATGATGCATACCTGTAATCCTAGCACTCTGGGAGGCTGAGGCAGGAAGATTGCAAGTTTACACCTGGCCTGGGCAGCTTGGCCAGACCTTGTCTCAAAATAAAAGATAAAAGAAGGGCTGGGGGTGTAGCTCAGGTATGAAGGTCCTGGGTTCAATCTCCCACCTCAAAAGGTTAATGGTTAATTTTAGTTCATATGAATTTTAAGTTAAATTCAGTTTAAGTTCAATTAAGCAAAAATTCCATTCATTTGCTCAAACAGACCTTTCTCCCAGGCATCCTGGTTTCTCTGGGAAGTCTAGGTTTATGTGTGAGGTTTTCTTTCCCTTTCTTTCTCCCTTCCTTCCTTCCTTCCTCTCCTGAGGCCTTCACACTGAGCTACATCCCTAGATCTTTTTATTTTTTTATTCTGAGACAGGGGCTTCCTAAGCTGCCCAGGCTGGGCTTCAACTCGTGATTCTCTTGTCAACTTGGAATTCCAGGCATGTGTCACTGCACCTGGCTTGTGTGAGGTTTTCATCCTATTGGATCAAGGCTCTCCCCACTTGGCTCTCACCTCAGCATGCCCTAGTCACCCTAGCTGCTGTCCCCACCTCTCCACCCTGAGGATGCAGTGTGAGCGGCCTACAGCTGCTCTGGGCACCAGCACAGATTCACCTGCTGTGTTCCCAGGGGCTGCAGGGCATCTTTGTTGCCACAGTCCTTGCCTCTCTCAGCTCAGTTCCATGATCCTGGCTCATTTAGGCCTGTTATTTGGAATTGCTGCTGAAAATGAAGACCTAGCACCTCCCCCTTGCCATGCAGCAAATGTTTCTGGTTAGGATCCCTGGTTCACGTCCGGGAGATGAACGCTCAAAGTCCCAACATTGAATGAACGAACACATTCAGCAGTGTATTCCCAGCATGCAAGTCTTTGTCCCTCTATCATCGTCTGCCAGTGCCTGGAAATGGAGGGCTATGACAGAGTGACTGTGGCTCAAGGGTGTGTTTGAGATTGTGATGTGGCTTGTTGTCATGGCAACAGAAGAGCATAGCAGTTGCCTGGCCGAAGCCTCCGCAGCTCCACCCCAGCCTCGCCTGTGATTGCTTTGAGACAGAATTTGAGATGCACAAGGCGCAGATGTGATGGGTGTGACAGCACCACCCAGAACCTTGTGTGTCAGCCCAGCACAAGGTGGCCTGTGTGCATCAAGGCTGCGTGGGGCTTGGGATCTAGATGTTTTCCATTGGAGTCCTTGCCACTTCCTGGCTGGGTGTTGCCCTGATCTGCATGTCCCTGTCACTGGGTTGAAGTCCATTTCCATTTCCAGTGTGGGCTGTGCATGGGGACCCTTGGGTTGGGTACATGATGGTCATGCCAGGGAGGGGTGCAGTGGGGGCAGACACCTGCTCCCTGTGTGGTGGGAACAGGGGTGCTGGGTGTCATGTTGTGTGATGTCCCTGGGCCCCAGACCCCCACCGTGCCTGGGGGATTCTAGTTGTTCCTCAGGAGCCTACTTTTTGGGGTACAGCAAGCAGAAGCCATTGTTTCTGGGATTTGTTATTTATTATGATGGTTTTAGTGATATTTATGTCTGCATAGTGGCAAACTGATGTTTTATTTTCATTGTGACACGATAGTTCATCCCCATTTATGTGGTATTAACATTATAGCAGCATGAGGGGAGACGAGAAACTCTCAGAGTCCCTGCCCATCTGAAGTTTAACAAGCTATTCCTCTTTCAACTCTTTTGTATAAGCAGGTTCCCTCCTCTCCTACTTCCTTTCTTTTTTTTTCTTGCATGTTTGTAATCAAAATGTAGATATAATAAGTAAAAGAAATATAAAGTCCAGTTTTCTGAGTTACTCTGTGTCTTCAGAAATGGTATTTTAAGCTGGGGATGGTGGCACAGACCTGTCTTCCCAGCACTCTGCAAGGCTGAAGCAGCAGAATGGCAAGTTCAAGCCCAGCCTGGGCAACTTAGTGACTTAGCGAGACTCTGTCTTAAAAAAATAAAAAAAGAGATTGGGCGCCTGGGATTTAGCTGAGTGGTTTCGCCACCTGTTGCATAGGCTCAAGGACCCGAGTTCAATCCCCGGTACACACACACACACACACACACACACACACACACACACACACACACAAAGAGATTGGGATATAATTTAGTATGGAGGTTCTAGGTTCAATACCCATTCCACCCACTCACCCCCCCCCCACAAAGCATTTTTAAATGTATTGTTCACTTGTTTATTAAGCATGTATTATATGTAGGCACTGTTCCAAGTACCAGAATTGTGCAGTGCATGAGGCTTATGTGTAAGCAGGGAAGCAGTGCTGGATCAGAGAACATCTGGGGCCGGGGAGGTTGGAAAGGGCAAACGGAGGCGGGGAAAGGGTGCAACCCTGGGGCGTGCTTTCCTCCCCCTCCTCTTGCTTCTCCTTGGGGACATCTGGGCTCTCTGGACTAGGTGGTGGGAGAGCATTGTGAGCCCTGTGGACACTTGGGAGAGGTGGTCCTAGCATAGGGGTATTGGGTGCCAGGGTAGGAGCAGGGCAGAGCCAGCATGCAGCGAGGGGGCAGAGAGTGAGACTTCTGCTGTCTCTCAGCTGGGGACCAGGGAGTGTCTAGTGGAGGTGCTCCAGCATGGGTCTGGTATTTTATACGGCAGCATGCGTTAGATTGGGCAACTGCATGTGTTGACAGTGTGCCTGGACAGCCCTTGCACCTGCTTGTCCATTGGTCCCCCTTTCTTTCTGCACCTTCAAGCTCTTGGGGTCATTTTCTTTCTACCTGCAGCCCAGTTCTTCATGTTTTCTGGGTGCAGCCCAGTCAGTAATGGATTGTTCCTATGTGTCTGAAAATGTCCTTCTTTACCCTCATTTGAAGGCTGTTTCTACTGGGTATGGAGCTTAAGATTGCCTCTTGCTTGCTATTATTATACTCAACACCTTGCTATGTCCCTCCTGTCCTCTGGCTGCCCTGTGTCTGCTCAGAGGCGGGTGTCAGGTCACGGGCTCCTTGGAAGGCAATCGACTTTGTTCTCAGTCTGCTTTGGGGGTTCTCTGTCTTCGGTCCCTTCAGAGGACTATGAAGTGTGGGATTTTGTGTGTCCCTTAAGTGTGTGGCCTGGCTGATGTCTTTTATTGGTTCAGGAAAATTCTTAATCATAATCTCATCAAACATCTCTTCTGCTGTCTTTTTTCCTTTTCATCTGGAACTCCACTTCCATGCAAATTAGAGCTTTTTACCATACCCCGTATCCTCTTTTGCACTTTCCTATGTTGGCTTTCCTGTTGTATCTTTGTACTCCAGTCTAGATATTTCCTTCTGATTTATTTTCCAGGTTATTAATTTCATCACCTGTGTTTCTAATCTGCTGCTAAACCCAGCCACTGAGTTCTTAGTTCCAGTTGTTATGTTTATGTTTTTTGGATCTTGAATTTCCATTTGGCTTCAGAATTGTTTTTTCTTTTTACTTCTGTGCCAGCATTCTGAGTCTCATCTTTGATTTCCTTGAACAAACTGAGCACAGCTGTTTTAAAATCCATGTCCAATGGTTCTGTGATGTAGATCCCTGGTTGCGGGGGGGTCTCTTTATATTGTTCGTTCTTTCTCTTAGGTTTTGGTTACATGATCTTGTCTCTTTTAGAGGAGTTATTTTTGACTGAGTCCCTGACATTGCATATGAAAAATTATAGAGAAGATTTGACATTATCTTCCTTTTGAAAGAATTTGTGGCTCACCATGGGGTCCTTGTGATCCCGGACCACCCAGCTTGAGGGGGGACTAGATGGCATGAGGCTGGGACTCTGTGTGTCCCGTGTGCATCTGGTTCACTCTGATTCACTCTGACTTCTAATGTCTGCACAGTCTTGGAGATTTACTAGGATTTCTCTCCCTAGGCAAACCCTGGATTCTGGTGTTGTTTGGTTTCCCCACTCTGCATTCTGTTGGAAGCTACTTGCAGGGTGACATGGCTTCAGCACTGTGGTCTCCTCCCTGGGTTCTGCACCTCCATCCTCCACTGGCTGTGTAATTACCACTGTGGTCCAAGCTGTTACCTCCAAAAAGACATTTTTCAAATTTTGTCAGGGTTTTCTAGTTGATCTCACAATAGAAGTTAATTGCAGCAACAGTTTCACATTACCAAGAGTAAAAATGTGATTTATGCTGTAATAAAATCCCTGATGGCAAGAATTAGCACAGATGAGAGGTAACAGTGGCTTGGACCAGGGCAGTAAGAAATAATATACCTAAATTTTTAAATTCTTTATACATTATCATTTGACTTTGGATAATACTGGATACACTTTCTTTCCTTGTCTTCCCAGTATAATTGCATCATTATTTTTAGTTCTGTTTTTTCCTATTAAAATTCTAAATTTTAAATAACATACCAACCCCTGTTCTATAATTTCAGTAACTGTGAGCTGTATTGATTCTCTACTTTTTGTTCACCTTTCCTCTTCACAGTTTACTGTCTTCTGAACTTTTTTTTTACATTGTCCATTCTGATAACATGTGTATTTTTTCAAAAACAATGAGGTCTGTGATAATCTTTTTTTTCTTTTCTTTGCTTATAGTACTGAGGATTGAACCCAGAGCCTATGGCTTGAGCTGCATCCCAAACCCTTTTTATCTTTTGAGACAGGCTCTCACTGAATCACTAAGTTGCTCAGACTAGACTTGAACTTGTGATCCTTCTGCCTCAACCTCCCAGAGTACTGGGATGACAGGCACGTGCCAGCATGCCCTGTTGGGAATTCTCTTATTCCTGAGAATTTTGTCCCTTTTATCACCTGGAATTTTTGGTAATTATATATCAAACCTCTTGGGTTGTATTTGGTAGATATTTTTTCTTATGTGATTTCTTTGTCCCTTTGTTCCTTTTCTTGGATATTTCCATGATTTGTTTTCTTACTGTTTTATATATTTTCATATAATATAAATTATATAAATATAAATTAGATGGATACTTAATTTCAGTTTTGTTTTTGAAGGATGCTCCCATTTTCATAAATCCTATTGATGTAGAATGGATGTGGTAGCTCTTCAGATCTCTCTAACAGCATATATATATATATATATATATATATATATATATATATACATATATATACATGAAATCTTTTTTGAAGTTGTTCTCTCTTTCCTGAATTATTTCCTTCAGGATAATAATTTTTTTTTCATTATTTTCTTGCTCTTTACTTTCATATTGAATATTTTCCTCAGTGTCCAGTAACCTTATGTTTACAGTGAAGAATTACAGCCATCTTATTTAGATCCTGATTAGAAATTTTTTTAAAAACCAACTTTATGGAGGAAATCAGGAAGTTTCAACACTGACTCAACAGGAGATGTAGCGAGGGGAGAGAGTATGATGGGGAAGTTATATTCATGTACCAACTCCTCATGATGAATGGAATCATTATGTACTGCTGTACTAATAGAAATAAAAATTTTAAAAAACCAGAAAAGAAATAAATGCTGATTTTTAGGACGCTGATGGGTATTGCTATGTGCACGTGTGTGTGTGTGTGTGTGTGTGTGTGTGTGTATGCACACATGTGTGGGCATAGGTGTGCTTTTTTATTTTTGTGGCTCTGGGAATTGGAGGCCAGAATATGTGCTGGGGTCTCAATGCCTGCCAGCTTCCCTATTCTTTGTGGCTTCAGGGTTTTCACATGGTCGGGGGCATGAAGTTAAATATTTGGAACGCATAAGCAAAAAGTTTGCTTGAAAGGATGGTTTGAAATGGAAGCAGGACAGGTGTCCCCAGCTTCAGCATCTTCTGGCCCCACAGAGGTCACCAAAAGGACTCCCAGGCCTGTGTGCAGCAGGAGATGACATCAGAGCTGTGGCCCAAGCCCTGCCCAGTGGGCACTGACTGGCAGGGTCATGGCATCAAAGGTGTGGCCAGGGAGGTGACAGGTGATGTGAGCCCTGTGCCGTGGGCACTCTCAGGTTCTCCAGATGTCCCTGGAGCACCACCTCGTCATGCCTCTCAGAACGACAACCCATTTAAAATGTAGGCACTGTGTACTCCTGGAATTTGCCCTGCAGTCTTTGTAGGCCCATCGACACTGTGGGGCTGAGTGTGGAAATGGACCTGGGAGTTAGGTGTGGGAGGGTTTTCTGCAGGTCAGGGATGTCACCGTCGCGTCACCCTGCCAATTCAGGGCAGTGGTATTACCCACCTGTTCATGGCAGGGATGTCACCTTCCCATCTAGGACAGGAGCACTGCCCTCCTGACCCCAGTGAACCTGGGAAAACAAGTGGCAGAGAGAGACATGTAGCCTGGTGTGAGGTGTGGCACTGAGGAATGGTACAGTGGGGGAGTCCTGGCACAGGAAGGCTCTGGGCGGGGGCCCCGAGAACAGGAGGGAATGGAGAGAAGCGAGGGATGGTGATGAGAGACGTTAGGCTCCACTGAGCGCCTCGTGGACTTGGTGGGTCCCTCGGGACTTGTGCTGGCTGTCACTCCTCTGACCTGCACATCTCTCTCCAGGTAAAAGGCTCAGGGTGGCTGGGTCCCTCGGCCTGAGCCTCCCTGAGCCTCCCTTGGAGGTTGGGGATGGTGCTGATTCACTGAGGCAGGGTGGGGCTCCTGTAGAAGGGGTGGGAGGGGCCTGCATGATGTGGACCTCGGTTGGGAACAGGATGGAGCCACATGACCTTGGGCAGGAACCAGCGTCCTAGATTATGCTCTTCCTCAAGGGTGGGGGCTCCAGCTCTCAGTGCCTACCCGGTGGCTTCCTGGCCCTGTGTGAGTCTCCCATAACCACGCCAGGGGTCCAGGACACATACACCTGTCCCCTCACAGTGCAGGAGGCTGACATCTGAGAACACGGTGCCCAAGGCCCGCACTCCCTCGAGACAGGGAGAGCCTTCCTTCCCCTTTCTGGCTTCCAGTCGCCCTGGGGACC